TCTAGGGCATTTTCTGGCCTGTTTGTCTAACGCACCGTGAATAACTGAGCATAAAGGCGACATGTCTTGGTCTATACCCGTCACTTGAGTTACTCTACTGCGTTTCCCTGTGCCCCGTGTGCTGGAGACCATTGGCGTGGGGACGCCTATGAAGCCGTAGGTCGCCGTGCTGCCTTCCGATCTGTGTTCCGTGACCTCACCCGGTCGCAGAAGCCAAGCACAGTGCGAGCATGTGCACTGCAAAGCAGGCCTCTTGCGTAGTTTGGTTTGTCTTGGGAGAGCGAGGGGTGCCCACCCCGCAGCACACCCTAGGTGGGAGTGGGACTGCGAGTGGGGTGCGGTGCGGCTCCTTCAGTTGGGTGCTGCTGCTTGGCTGAGGGTGCCTTCTGCCTGGCTCCTCTACACGTGTATTTATGTCTGGAAGCATCCGTTCCTTGTTATCATGGACACATTGACTTATTATCCCCAGGGACATTTGACAAACGAAATAAAATGAGCATTCCAAGGATAAGTAACTATTTTCATGTATTTCAAACTTTTTTCGCCACTGAAAAAGACAACCACATGAGTGAATTATGTGTGTGTGCATTGAGACAGACACTCTATATCTGTATATCTGCGTGTGTATATGTGAAGAGCCCTGGTAGCACAGTGGGTTAAGCATTAGGCTACTAACCCCCGAGTCGGCGGTTCAGACTCACCAGCAGCTCCATGGAGGAAAGATGAGGCTGGCTGCTCCTGTGAAGGCTTAAACCTTGGGGTCCCTAAGGGGCAGTTCTCTGCCCTGTGGGGTCGCTCTGAGTTGGCAGGCAGTTTGGTTTTTGGTTCTTGTGTACATATACACACACACACGCATATAACTCATATACGTTTGTATTTGCATGACTTATCTAACTACAGGTTTTCAAAGGAATGGACTATGATATATATTCCAGTGGACTCAGCACTAAATATATGCTGCCGACAACTTAGCGTTTTGCTAGTAGTTCGTGAGGTACTTCACTGTCTGTGCATTATCCTTGTTTTCAGATATACATGAATTTATAGAAATGTCAGTTAATATCAATGCGTATCATAAAGGGCTTGGCTTTTCTTTCCAGCTCCTCTGTGATCTGTTAACGTTGTAGAAATAGTGTTTATAGTGATTCTACGCACATACTTTCCCACAAGCATTCGCTAATGTTTATCTGGAAAAAAAACAGAAGTCGTTCGTGAGCCTTTCCATCACGACCCTGAAAGGTGTTCTTCTCTTCTAACCAGATTGTGTGTACGAAGCCTTACTGAACACTGCTGTCGACGTGGACGCGCTGGAGGCAAGCTCGCCCTTGGACGAGGGCTGCATCAAGGAGGTGATCAGGAAGACAGGCATGAAGCTGAAGTGGAGCAAACTGAAGCAAGACAAGGTCCGGGAGAACAAGGACGCCGTGAGAAGGTGAAGCCAAGCATGTGCTGGGTGAGGGCCCTCGGGTCTGGGTCACGCTTTGTATCGTTAGGGTTTCTCGTCGTGAACCCTTCATACATTTTATATATATATATATATATATTTTTTTTTTTTTTCCATGTCTTACACTGTCTGCTGTGTCCCTTCACCCACGTTTCTGTTGTTTGCCTCTCTGGGGTGGTGGTAGTGGTCATGCATCCATCATTTCTACTCCCCCCCCCCC